TTCTCTTCTTCTTCTTCTTCTTCTTCTTCTTCTTCTTCTTCTTCTTCTTCTTCTTCTTCTTCTTCTTCTTCTTCTTCTTCTTCTTCTTCTTCTTCTTCTCCTTCTTCTCCTTCTTCTCCTTCTTCTTCTTTCTTTTTCTTTTGAGCTGAGGATCGAACCCAGAGCCTTGCGCTTGCTAGGCAAGCACTCTACCACTGAGCTAAATTCCCAACCCGTTGGTCTCTTCTTAATGACCACCAATTCTTCATCCCAGCTGACCAACATCAAATGTCACAGCAAGGAAAAGGTTTTACTTTAATGGTTCCCGTCTCTTGTTAACCATAGCCGATTATTCAGCTCCTGCTGACCAGACACCACACATCCTTCACACAAATGACCTGATAGAGGCTTTACTTCCTTATGGAATGTCACAAGCCAGGGCTCTATCATCTGCAGTTCTCTCAATATTCATATCTTCCAGAAGAGTTCATTGAACTCTCAACATTCAATGACTTTTCTATCCCAGAGTTCCAAAGTCTCTCCACTATCCTTCCAAAACAATATGGCCATGTCTGTCACAGTAATACCCGACTATCCTGGTACCAACTTCTGCTTAGAGTTATGATTGCTGTGATAAAACACCACCACAACCAAAAACAACTTGGGAAGGATTGGATTTATTTAGTTTATGCTTCCACATTACTCTTCAACAATAAAGTTAGTGTTGTACCCAGAGTCCCCCAAAGAACACCAAGAGCCCGAATCCGAAGCAAAAGCAAAGTGTCTTTATATTGTTATGAGTTAACTCTGGACTCTCCATCTATCTGACACAGCAGCAGGGCAGAAGAGACCCCAAGTAGCAATGGGGTAGGGTTTTTAAAGCAAAGGGGGTTTGAGGTCTACAGACTTCATAGTAACGGACGCATGATTGGTTTATGTGAATCATGTGGCAATCATGTTAGTAACTTTTAATTGGCTGGAGTCAGTTGTGGGCTACAGTTATCCATTTTGGGGCAGGCCAGGACAAGTCCCAGGCTTTGTCCTTGAGCTGCCATAGAGGCTGGCTGGCCTAGCACATACTGACTGTAGGGGCTAACTCAGTGGCCCAAGGCTCTGTTCTTGACTCATGCATGTAGCTCTAAGTTGGTGAGGGGTTCTAGACAGTAAACAATTGGCTGAACGTTGAGCAGAGTATGAGTACATACAGAAAGGAAACATCTGCAAGGATTATGTCTTTTGTTCATGGCCCTCCCAGAAACTGCTTGCTCAAGTCTCAGTAACTGAAATTGAGGCTTGATCTCTGAGAGAAGGCTGAGCAGTCTGTTATGGTGTCTGCTTGGTTCTTTTATGACAGGAACTCAAACAGAGCAGGATCCTGGAGTCAGAAATTAATGCAGAAGCCATGAATGAGTGTTGCTTAATGGCTTGCTCTCCATGGCTGGCTCAGCCTGGTTTCTTACAGAACCCAGGACCACCTGCCAGGGGTAGTCCCACCTACAATAGCCTGGGCCCTTCCACATCAACCACTAATTAAGAAAGTGTCCTACAGGTTTTCCTGTAGCCTGATCTTATGGAAGCATTTTCTCAATTGAGGCTCCCTTCTCTCTAATGACTCTAGCTTGTGTCAAGTTGACATAACACTAGGTAGTACAGGAAGAAAGAGTTTATTTGGCTTACAGTTCCAGAGGGTGAGTACATAATGGTAGTGGAGTCATGACAACACGTGACTGGAGTAGGAAGCTGAGAGATCACATCTTAACCACAAACATGTAACAGATTATGTTGGAAGTAGAGTGAGTCTATAAACCCACAAAGGCATCCCCAGTTAAGTACTTCCTCCAACAAGATTCTTCCACCTAAAGATTCCATAATCTACCCGGACAGTACCACCAACTAGGCACCAAATATTCAAGTACCCAAGTCCATAGGGAAAATTTATCATTCAAACCACCACTCCCCCAAGATGGGATCCAGAATCAGACCAACAAATTTTTGAAAGCAAAGAACAACCAGAATACAATCCCAGAGACAGCAAGAGTGACTTCAGCTTTCTGGTCTGTCTGTAATATTATCTACTGTAATGACAACCCCAAACACACCAAGTCTGGTGGAAATGCAGTCATTGCAATGAAATCTAGAACTATGACACTCCAACCTGTCCATAAATTGAAGGCATTTTCAAAGGAGCTGGAGCCCAAGTGTATTAGATTTGGGAAGCTACTAACCTTTTCAAAAAGGACACATCTGTGGGTGATGACTATGCTTGAAAAAAGTTAAGTTCTTAAAAGAAGTAAGCACGCAAGGTGATCAATAAGCTCATAGCTTCTCCTGCTCCTTTCTGCTCCTTTCTGTGCAAGTGACCTGCAGCATGAATCTATTAGTATCTTTGACCATATAAAGCCTGAAGACTTCCTCTTAATTATGCTATAGTGGGGGGGGGCGGGTATGGGAAAAAAAAACGGAGATCTTCACGTCCATGGGCCAAGATTGCATCTGCTTCATATTGCATAGGGAGCATCAGAGTGGCTGTCTAGTGTTGTTTCTGTGGTGACAAATTGTCGCTGGCAACAACTAGTTGGAAATTCCCAACCTTCTCAGCACCGAGTTCTCCATTGAACTCCTCTACACAGTTCTGATGTAGATTATCTCCAAAGTAAACAGAAGCATGTACAAGCAGGTCAGACAGAAATGTGTAGACTTCCTTAGATGGTGAGTACATCAAACAGTTCCAAGAAGCCAGCAAGTAATAAAGGAACTGAGAACAGAGGGGGAGATACCCTCTCTGGGTTTTTGGATGCAAATACACTGTGCTATTCTACTGATTGTCCCCGCTTATTTTTATGTGCATATTTGCTTATACTGTATGAGTCTTTTTTATTGATTATGTTAGGGATATGTACCAGGCCATAGGGTTTGTCATATGATGCTATCCTTGTGATGTATGATGACTGTCCATATCCTTGGAAATATGTCTAGCAGCCAGATTGGGCAGGTGGATTGGAGCAACACAAAAGCAAAGCAAAACAAAACAAAAACCAAAGAGCCTGGAAGCCATAGTGCATATGATTCACAGTCAGATCACATGTCTCCAAGAGAAAAGAAATTGAAATAATAAACATTATGAGTAATTTTTATATGTAACTTATTTAATATGAAATTAATGTAAACAATTCGCTCTGAGAAAGTCTAGAAAGAAAAGGGATTGGTAAAATGTAGGAAAAGGGAAATTTGCAATGAACACCTTAAAAATAAATACCCCAGTGGAGACACCCACTTTAAATCAATTGTTATTTAGATTCAAGTCACTTTGCTAGATTTTCAATTTTCCAAATTCTCTTGCCTCAGACTAGGTAGGAGGTAGGGAGGTAAGTGAGAATTTTTTGGGCAGTTCAGAGGCCCTTATTTTAAACAGGCTTTAATATAAAGCAGAAAACAATGCTATGATTCTATTCAATGCCATGAACGCTATCATTTCTGTTTGCATGTTAGATGGTTCAGAAGACTGCAGGAAGCTTAGACATAAAAACAAGGAGCAGCATTGTTCCAAAGTGGGAAGAGAAGTACAATAAAAGGGAAAATAGTTGACCGTATTTAATATATTTTAGCACCATTTATGCAATTTTACTCTACTCCAATATATCTCCAGTATGCAAATATAAATATGAATTAAGAACTGGAATCATGGAAATATTAGTTTTCAATATTTTATGAAAGAAAAATACCTCCATTATTTTTGTAAAATATTTATTGAGTCACTTGGTCTCGTGAATTAATCAATCTTAAGATGTAGGATAGAATGTAAGGAAAAACAAACTGTTAGTTCTTATAGAAATTTTTACTTGCCAAACTCCAGTAGAAAAGAATATGTAATAAAACCATAATAACGCCGGGCGGTGGTGGCGCACGCCTTTAATCCCAGCACTCGGGAGGCAGAGGCAGGCGGATCTCTGTGAGTTCGAGGCCAGCCTGGTCTCCAAAGCGAGTTCCAGGAAAGGCGCAAAGCTACACAGAGAAACCCTGTCTCGAAAAACCAATAATAATAATAATAAAATGTGAAAAAGTATGGTAAAAATAGAAATTAGTATAGTGCAAATAATTACAACAGCATTGAACAAAATGCTGCTTTGCAAAAGTATTTCCATCACTGAAGTTAAATAAATCATAAAGTCACTTATCATTGCTCATGAAAATGACTATATAATGTTCACTATGAGATTTGTTCCTTATTATTGATGGCTCTAAGTTACCAAATAATGATAATTTTATGTAGTTATATGGATTTAATTTTTCTTTACAGGAACTCCATTCTCCAACAGTGAAAGTTACTACATATCCACAAACTACCATTAGGAGATACATAGTACAAAACCCTGACCAGGTAAGGTGTCATGTGATCTCTCTTTCCAATGGATGAGTCAGTCAGTTACCAGACCCTTAAAAACAGATCACTGGCCTATCTTCCAGTTAGAAAGTGTACTTCTAATCATTAATATAAAATTTTATTTTTAATTTCAGGAAGCCATGCACTGAATACTGATATAGCAAAGCAAAAGTTCCAAGCAGCTTGGCTGGCATACTCCTTTCCTTTCTATAGCCCCGCCCATGCACTGCAAGGGACTTTTGTGCACTTTGAACCAGAGAAAAAAGGGACAAAGGTCTCCACAGGCTTCCCATAAAATCTACCAACTACAACACCAGGAGTTGGAAGGTTGAGTGTATTTGGATTTGTCTTTCAGATGTGGACTAGTAAGAAGAAAATTAAAAGTCCAAAGCTCAAAAATGTTTTCATGTACTTATAGCCTGTGATGTATGAATTATATACTTAATAATAAGCTATTTAGAAATTTACCTTATTTTATTTCTAACTAAGATATATAACTTTACGTTTTACGGAGTACATATTATTTTCTGTCTAATTTGAGAAGAAAAATAAGAAAACATTTTTCTATAATAATAAACATCCCTTAAGTACACACACACATATGCACCCACATATACATCTATAGTGGCAATAGAATATCTTGGCATTTTAAGGCATCAGTCTCCCAATAGGAAACACTACAGTATGGATATAAATATGGCATTCTTCCCTTAACTCTACATTTCTCCATTATAACGAGAAACAATTTTTCCCTCTCCTGAAAGATGAAGTATGTATTCCAGCTGTAGAAAGGAAGGGGTTCACGTGGAGTCTCATGTTTTCTACAAATCTAGATGGTGTAGAGGATGTACTTCTACTACTATCAATTCCACTTCCTGTTTTTTAATTTACTTATTAAAATCATGTTCTTGTGTCTCCTTAGTTAAGGAAGCTGCTAGTTGTGCATGCATGTCTGTGTGAACTTGTGTACACACAGGATCTGAGTAAGGTGATGATTGCTTTGGATATTTGCTTGAGTTTTCATAAGTTTGTGTAAACATAGAAAGAGGGTGTGATTATAGTTAAAGTAGTTGCCTGCTCCTTCTTTTGAATAATCAAATATTTAAGCAACAAGTCTGGAAACAGGCAAGGTGGCTGGACAAGGGGCAGTGAGGAACCTTAGTGGGGAGAGTATGTTTCCCTATCTTTGTCTCTCTACTGCTCTTTCTCAATCCTGTGATGAGAATTGAATGAATATAGACTATAATATTGGCTTCTTACAAAGACAGAATTTCTAGTATGTTCTGTACTTATTTATATACATCTAATCTGCTTTTTACCCACATGGTTCATGTCCTTATACTTACATAGGTATATATCCTTGTATTTGGTAATATGATGTATATGTATATGTATATGTATGTTTATGTGTACCCATGTGTGTAAGTACATGTGGAGATCAGAAGTTAACATCATGTGTCTTCTTCAACCACTCTCTACCTTTCTTTTTGAGACAAAGTCTCTTCCTGAATCTGGAGCTTATAGGTAAGACTAGCCTGCCTGGTCAGTGAGCTCCAGGTATCTACTTGTTTTTCCTTCGCCAAGGCTAAGATGACAGGTATGATACCAGGAACAGACTTTCATGAATACTGGATGTCCATATTCTGATTTTCATGCCTACACAACAAGCACTTTATCAAGCAAGTCCTCTCCAGATTTTAAGAACTCGCATTCTTTAACATCTATTTTCCTTATTCTTGAAGAAACTTAAGTTCTTAAATGCTACAGGAACACTGAGTTGCAAAGTGACAAAGTTGGAAATGGATTTGAATAATGCAGAAGAAACATTAACAAATGAAGGACAACTCATAATGGACCTTAAATGATTACCAGATAAATTATGTATTTATATATGTACTTATACACCATGTTGTTTAAAAGGTAGCAAAATTAGGCATATGTGTATAAGTAAGGACATATTAAGAACACTGGGCTTGCTTCTCTAAGAACTCGTTATTTCAGGACATGTTGAACTACAAACATTTCCTCTAGAAAATCTAACAAGAGCGAAGAAAAAATGGTCATTTTAAAGATTTTGAACTTTGTCCTTTATTGAACAATAAAACAGGTTTCAAGCCACATGCTTTGTAAACAAAAATAACCTAACTCGTTTTGCAAAATAGCTTTAACACTGTTCATATATAGCCCTGTTTTCTTTTTTAAGTGTACTTCTTTTGTATTTTGCACTTTTAAATCTCTCCAGGAGAACATTTAGTTTAATTGCAATGTTTACAGTAAGTTGAGGCTCTTAAATGATAACCCCATCCTCTTTCACCTCCTAGGTTTTCTAAGCTTTATTTCTTCTTCTGGGAATTAAACTGATCCCAAGCGACTTGTCTAGTTGCAATTCCTTCTACCTCTCTCTATTCAGACTTTTTATTTTATTTTACAATTCCATTCAGTTTACATATCAGCCACGGATTCCCTTGTTCTCCCCCTCCCGCCCCCTCCCCTTCCCCCAGCCTACCCCCCATTCCCACCTCCTCCAGGGCAAATCCTCCCCAGAGGACTGCGATCAGCCTGGTAGACTCAGTCCAGGCAGGTCCAGTCCCTTCCTCCCAGACTGAGCCAAGTGTCCCTGCATAAGCTCCAGGTTTCAAACAACCAACTCATGCAATGAGTACAGGACTTGTTATTTGTGGTCGCTCCTGATTTTTCCTTATTCTCAATTTTTCATTGTAATTATAGGATTTATATATGCTGATTTTTTATCCCAAAATGAAGACAACACATTTATTTCATAGTAGATGAAATCTAATGATATTTATCAGTTTCATTAAGTTTCTCTTTGTGATGTTTCTGATGGTCTTTGGAACTGAGACTGTCCAGGTGGGTCCACCCTACATGCAGATAAACCCATACACCAGTATGGAAATGTATTAAAGGTTGCAGCATTAAGAAGGTTGAGAACCACTGCTATAGAGTATCTTCTCCATATCATGAGCAGCACAAAGAGAAAACATATTTCTGGTGGTCTAGGTAACCCTGTAGGGGTCGAGATCCACAGGTTGAAAATTACTGCTCTATAGCCTTCAAGCAAGAATAAGGAAATAAGGTATTTTTCCTAAACCAAAGGTGCTTATATTTTCTTTTAGGGTAGGAAGTAAGGCATGTATACAAATAGCTGTGTAAAATACATTGGAAAATGCATTGTAGGGTGAGTAGAAAAATGCAAATAGTCTTAGTTACTTTTCTATTGACATGACAAAATGCCATGACCTAGGCACCCTATAAAAGAATGCTTCTATTTGAGGCTTGCTTACAGTGTCAGAGGGTGAGTCCATGACCATCATGGCAGAGAGCATGGCAACAAACAGGCAAGCATGATGTGGGAGCAGTGGCTGAGAGCTTACAACTGGGTGGAGTCTTGCCTTGAGGATAGCACTACCTTTATTACATTTCTCCTTATCTTTCATCACAAACTAAGGCTCCAACATTACATATCCTAGTGTTCTTTTTCTCCTCAAATTGTACATTTTGTGTTTCTTTTTGTTCTGCTTGCTCTTTTTCATTGTAAATCTGCATAATAGTGATCACTCATAACCACATGACACAAGTCAATAGTTGACTATATCAGAATCTTTTCTACCAGTTTGAAACTCTTCAGTTTACCCTCCAGCAGATTCTTAGCACAAGGGCAAAAAGCAGCTACATTCTTTGCGAAAATACACCAAGAATGGTTGTTATCCTAGTTGCTAATACTGTTCACCTCTGAAGCCAGTTGATCAGGATCACCATAGTCCACATTGCTCTAAGCCTTATTGTCTTCCAATAGCCTACTAGAATGGATCATAAAGCCCCACTTATAAAATTCAACCACTTTTCTAGTCCAAAGTCTCAAAGTTTTCCACTTTCCTCCAAAAACAAACAGACAAAAAATACGAAACACCATAGTTAGACATGTCACAGCAATAACTCACTCATTATACCAACTCCTGTTTTAGTTACTTTTCTATTGCCATGATAAGACACTATGACCAAGACAACATTGAAAGAAAGAGTTTAATTTGGTGACTTATGGTTCCAAAGGGTGAGTCCATAGCTATAGTGGCAGGAAGTATGATAACAGACAGACAGTTATAGCAGGGGAGCAGGAGCCGGAGCTGAGAACTCACAACTCATCAACAAGCACTAGGGAGAGAGAGAGAGAGAGAGAGAGAGAGAGAGAGAGAGAGAGAGAGAGAGAGAGAGAGAGAGACAGAGACAGAGACACAGAGACAGAGTAAGCACTAACTGGGAATAGTGTGGGCTTCTGAAACCTCAAAGCCCATTCCCAGTGACACACTTCCTCCAACAAGGTCACATATTGAATTCTTCTCAAGGAGTTCACTAACTGAGGACCAAGTATTAGAACAGATGGACCTGTGGGAGCTATGCTCATTCAATCACTATACTGCAGTTTGACTTCAGATAACAACACATTTGCTATTTGTAGAAAATCAAGGAAAAGATTTGTTTTGACATGTAATATATTGATACAATTCACATGATGTTAGAATCATTATACTCACAAGGAAACAAATTTAAATAGGTGTGCTTTGTTCAAGTCTTCACAAATTCTTCTCTTTTCTGACAGCTAATCCAGGGTAGGGAGGCTGACAGAAGAAAAGTTAAATGTGAGCCTAAAGGCCTGATAGGTGGAGACGCTCGCTGGGCTATGGTGGCTCAATAGAAAAGATTAAGAAGAACGGAGAAGTTGGTTTACTAAAGGGGAATACCATGAGATTTGCTTGAGCCAGTGGGATCTGAGGTGCATAATAGAGAGAGGGTACCTAGTGAATATTTAAAATGACACAGCTAAATGTCACATATCAGATAGACGGTAAAGGTAAAGACATGAGTGTGATTGCTGTGAGGCAATGGGGAAGATTAAGGTCAGAACCTTGAGAAATATCTATTTCAGAGGAGCAGAAATAAAGACCCACTGAAATAGAGGAATCATTGAGTAACCATATCAAATTAGCATAAAGCTAAGGACAATAGATATGAGAATGAGCTTTGACAATCAAGAAATTGGCAGTGGTATTTAAAACAACACTTTCAATATACTTATAGGAGCAAAATCCAGTTGCAGAAAGTTAATGGATGGACTTCTCAAAGGGAAGTGGAGGAAGTTAATTGAGGGATGCCTTTCTGAAAAGGATATTGATCAAGGGCAAGAGAAAAGGTATCATTAGAGGAGAAAGCTGAATTTTGGAGACCCTGGAAGATTTGTAGATAGAATGAACCAGTAATGGGTAAGGGTAGTGATCCAATAGAATAAAGAGACAAGTGAGATAAGATTCTGAAGGAGAAAAAAGAGGATAAAAATTTCAGGTACACATAGAGATGCAACTTTAGGAAAACAAGGGTATGAATTCCTCCTTGGTGAGTTGGAAAGGACAGAATGTAAAGAGTAGTTTTTTGCAGTGTGGAGAAACATGGTGAGATCACATTAACTACATTAATTTGATTATCTCAAAGGGGTGAGGGAGCATGAGGATAGGGGTTGTGGAAAATAAAAGGCTTTGGAACCACAGTTATAGAATTTGATTATTCTAAGTGTGATCATAAAACTCGGAGGCAATGCTTGAAACTGAATAACTTGAACTTGTAATGAACAAATTTTTATTTTGGTTTTAAAAAATGTTTCTCTATTATAGCTTTGTGGCCTGGGAACAGTGCAATAGATGTTGGGAATTATATACTTTGTTAAATGTGAGAACTACTGCCAGAGGTTTTGAAAGTAACAATTAAAGTTATAACATCAATCATTTTGAAAACACCTGCTAATTTTTAGGGTGGATTTGGCACCAAATCAAATATAGAGACTGAAGAAAAGAAGATACCAAAGCACTAAAACTGTTGAACTCCTTGATGGTTAAGAACTCAAAAATGCCTGATTAAAGTTTTTTAACTGATTTGTTTTTCTACGGCAATTACTCATATGAATATTTTATTTTTACATTCTTATAGATTTGGGAAAGTAATAATCTAAATTTGGATGAGGTTTTTTTATTGTTATTTCTACAGGAAAACCAAAATATACTCTAAAGAAAATCAGTATTTCATAAATCTTAGCTTCTTTTTTCTTGAAAAACCACTAATAATAGAGAAAGCTTTAAAATGAGTTACATTTCTTAGAGAAGAAAATCTCATATTTGTTTTCCTCTTTTAGAAAATTCTAAATCATCAAGATAAAAATTATTACCATCCCTTCTCACTCATTTATCGGTTTATATAGTATTGAATATTCAGAGTCAATACTTTCTTTACCTTCAAAACAGTCTACTTTGTATAATTTAAATGATTGTCCTAGAAATATTATGACAAAATTCTCAAAAATCATTTTAATATATTATAATATTATGATACTATGTATTAAAAACCAATGTACAAAAAAGTTAAAATTGATGGTACCTTAAAATATATTATTTCACTTGATCCAGGGTATCTTGTATATTTTAACTTTGTGATAAGCACACTGAACTTCAGAGAAGGTTAATGCCTTACTTACCTAAGTATCCACTGCATATAGATTATGAAGAAAGAACTGTTAACTCTTGTTTTATGACTTCATACCTTTCTTTTCCATTAGCCTGCTTCCACTGATTTTCTTAAGTCAGAGTCAATGGATTCACAGCAGCTAAAATCCAATCTGCTTTGTGATTCTCACCCATTGATGTCTCGGGAGCATTTTTGGCGTTCAATTTCTTACTAATTTGCTGAAAATTTCTCCCTCTGATTTCAATGATGATTTTTTGTCTTGATTCTAAAACTTTACAACTTCCCTATTTCTACTTTTGTTTTTTTGTTTGTTTGTTTGTTTTTGCAATTGTGTGATTGTAACCACCACTTCTAATCTGGTCGTTGAGAAATCTGGATCTGCAGACTTGAGCTACAGAATTTCTTCCCTTCTTAACAATCAGTCTTTTAGGCCCATCAGTCTATGCACTGAGAATAATTACAGTGTTTTCCAATCAACAATCTCTGCTGTATACTAGCAATTTAATCTAATATAAGTACATTAAAAACAAATGAATACAGTTTTGTTTTGTGACAAATCAATGAATAAAACAACCTCATGACTCAAATTAAAATCAGAACAAGGGAGAAACTGAGTGTGGTGGCACTCACCTTCAATTCCCTGGCACTTGGAGGCAGAGGTTCGCCGATACTTGAGTTTGAGGCCAGCAAGATCTACATAAAGAGTTCCATGGCAGCCAGGGCTATAGTGAGACCCTTTCTCAAAAAGAAAAAAAAAGTGGAGAAAAAAGAATGTGATGTGCATTACATTTCTTTTGGACTCCTTGTTTGATTCTTTATTAGTCTTTCGATCTAAGACATATCACAGGCCCTTATTTCATTTATTGACATCTTCTAAGCACTTGGCTCATATTACAGCAATTTAGTTGATTATACAGAGATACAGTGGCTCTTAAAGCTTCTGCTGTCAGTTCTCAAAACATATGTTGTACTGAGAATCTTAGCCTTGATTATCATCACAAATAGGAATGGTACACTTCAATGACATGCAAATTGAGTCCTATGAAAATACTTTAATGCAGTTCTACCTACTCTATGGTTTAGTAGGAGTGACTGATTTGTATTTATTCTAAATTTCTCTAATAATTCCTTTGTTTGGAATGAAACCTGCCTATGACTACAGTTTAAATGATACTGACCTCATGCTAGACTACCTTAGAAGAAACTTGTATTGTGTCCTGTCTTAGAGCCAATGGATCCACAGACGCTCAAATCCAATCTGCTTTGTACTTCTCACCCAGAGAAACAAATGCTATCCTTCCTACTTCCTTCAAATCTCCCCCAGAGAACTAGAACAAATAAGAGGAATTCATATTGTTCTCATTGATAATGGACTGTTCTTAAAATTATTTCCTTCTACTGGAAGAAACTTATTGATGAATCATTCCACTATCCTCCTAAAATCTCTTACCGCCTCAGAGCCTATTAGATATTGGGTATTTGTTGGAGTTCCTATAAAAACTGCACCTTTCGTATCCAAACATGTTATTTAATCTCTTATTAGGAACCATTGTCTCCTTTCCTAAGAGGCAGTCACTTCTTCCCAGGGAACAATGTAATTTATGAAAAAACAATAAGAAAAGTGGAGAAGTTAAATACAGATCAGGTAAGTAATAATTGTTCTAGAACTTGTTTTACAAGTATAAATTTTTGAATTATGAATGTTTTAATAGAACTGAAATAATACTCAATTACCAAGTACCAGGCAAGACCGCTGTGAGTTGTACTGTGTCATCATGTCTACAGTTCTTCATGCTATCCTTAATATTTTTATATTTATTTTATTGTGAAGTACATTTTACCAAAATGAATCTGAAGTCACATAAAAAGTTAATGGTAGAAACTGAACTTAATATATATTATATGTTTCTCTTTAAACTAGTTTACAAAAAAAATTTAAAGACTATAATGCTATCTTCATTATTTTAATATGCTCAGACTTAAATGAATAGTATGCATTAACAGATAAGTAAAATATTCTGAAAGATATAGAAAACTGAAGCTTTAAGTAGCATTTTTAGTTGGGTTCTTTAAAGAAAAAAATTGTATTGTCTCAGTTCTATAAAGCAGAAATAAAAAACTACTGTGTAGGACAAGACGATGATCCTGCTGAAACTCTCAGAGAAGAAATCCTTTTTGTTGTTAGCTTAGCTTGTGGAAGCCTCAGGCATTCTTTTGATTGCATAATAACATTCCACCCCCCCCCCCGTACTCACATGCTGCCCTACATGTGCATCCTCACATCAGTGTCCCCTTCTGCATGGCTGTCTCTGTGTCAAATTTCTCATTTTTATAAGGACATTGGTCATATTGGATTGGATTTCACCCTAGTAAATTGATCCCACTCTAAATTGTTTCTATCTGAAAAGACCATATTTTAAAGAAAAGCAAATGCTGTATTACTGGGACTTAGAACATCACCATAAATTTGAAGTATGGGTAGCATTTAAGTACATAATAGGCAGTTAAATATTATAAAAATCAGCTTGGATAACAAAATCATTTTTTTTCATTTATAAATGAAGCACACTGAAAATGTATTGGATTTTGTTTTAAAATTTCTTGGCAAGAGAACACGCTCTATTTTTATAAGCACTTATTGGCAGTTGTTAGTAGACTTGTAGGGAATAACATGTTATTCCTTATTTTATGCCCAGTAAAAATGAAATGACATAAATTTCCAGAATGATAACCATCAAGATGTCTACTTTTTGGTTTGCTTGTTAAACAGAATAGTTTCTAAAGATCTAGGGCATTAAACACAAGTGTTCCTGAAGAAGAGCCCAACATTATGATATCAAGTAGAAAAAATTCACTGGATGTTCTTTATCTTCCAAGTAATATTTTCCAAAACTATCAACTTACATTTATATTTATTCAACTTGGCTATTAAAAATGATGTTTCACACATTTTAAGTAGTAAGGAGTATTTGAGGTGCATCAATAACCTGCTGCTTTCAGGTTATTGTTTTAATGAGAATGAATAGTATTTCTATTTTATAGCCTCTAGAATACAATGTTGACTATTCTATACATTGTCTTACTGCTCATGTAGCTGAAACAATTAAGATTTTTTTTAAGAACACTGCTTTTGCTTATTGTTGATATCAGTATTTTTTGACTGTACTCACATTTTCTCACTAATAATTTCAATGATTTGCCAGTTTTATAACTGTTATGTAAGCTGTCCAAATTACAATTACCTGTGCAAGTGGAACAAAACATAATTTTTTGTTTTGTTGTTTCCTCAGTGATAGAGGCTATACCATGGCATGCTGGACAAAACTAATGTCCAAACAAAACAATTTAGTGACACTTGTAACTGAATCAAATACAAGTAGCTACGGAAATTAGACTTGTCTAAGAACAAAAAAGGCCTTTGTCGTAAGAAGTTGGTAAAGTAGTGCTAGTTGCAAGATAATTATCCTCTTAAAATATTTGTCTTTTATATCATTCTTTTTTACCCTCTAGCTAAAGAAATAACCTATGATGAGATCATAATGTTTTGATATTTTCGTGCTTTAAAGTTTAGATTATGATATACTTCAAAATATGATCTCCATGTGAACATTTTTCTTTAAAACAATAATCTTGATAGCTAATTTAAGAACTGCAGCTGTAAAGTACTTAAGTGTATGAAGCTCTGGCTTCCATCTTAACACCAAGACTGAAAACAGTAAACACACTTTTTTAAATTCCCAATGCTGCATGGTGACGTTTTATGCCATAAAAGAACAGAATATATATATATTATATATATCAGATTGTAGCAAAGTTGATTAAAGCATATAGCTAGTTTTCTAAACTGTAAAGATCTCAGTGCTATCATACTTGTAAAATGAGTCATATTAAACAGTCTAGAGAAAGGAAAGCCAATAACTGACTCTATGACCTTTATATATCTACTGAGGCAGTTTCTATTTATAATATAAGCTTCCTCATATACTTTTCTTTATTCTAAAATAATTTACGCACCTAAAAAGCAATAGAGTAAGAAGGTTCAGAGTGTAAAATGAATATTAAAAATAATGCAAATGACATTAATGGTACTTGACTTCTCTATCTGGGCCTTCATGTGTCTAGTTTTTGGTTTTTTTTCAGATAGCCATTCTTGGAAGTTTATTACTCTATTCATATGAAAGCAGCTATATATATATTCATATATATATATACATATATATATATATATATATGTGTGTGTGTGTGTGTGTGTGTGTAGATTATTTTATATGTTAAACCAGAGAAAAAATACTCTGTTGTTCTGTACCTTGGTATTTTTATTTGACATAGTTTGAAAATTGTTTTATCTAAGAGTCTAAACTGTTGAATTACATAACTTTTCAATAAAAGTCAACTTTTTACACTCAAAAAGAAAATTTACACAGAATTTATACTTTCAAACTTGACTATATGTGAGTAACTGTAACATTCTGACTAAAACTTGAGTGATGTTTCTTTGAAAGCAGGCTATTAGCAGGAGCTTTTCGAAGCAGCATAACGACATACTATAGAAATGTTCAAGTATACCTGAAGTGTACACAATGGATATATGTAAATGTTAGTTTCTGCACTGTACTTCTCAGGAAGAAAAGCCATGACATAAACAAGCAGGTGCAATAGATTGTGTTTAAAAGCAAATTCCAGATGTTTTGTAGTTGATATAAATGAAGCCTTATACTAAGAGAGTCTGAGGTACAAATCATGAATTCAAGTCACAATTTTGGCATTAATTAGTTTTATTACTAGAAGTACATCATTTGATTTTTGTCATCATTGGGAGAATACTATTTATATGTTTAAATTTAGTGAGATAGATGATAATAAAAATGAATTATGGTGTCAACACTGATATAATGATTGTAATACACATTTATCCCTCACTTACTTTGTAATACAAAATTTACAGACAATTCATTTACTCCACACAGAAACTCAATGAAAACAATATTTAAATAAGAGTACCTGGTAGAATTAAAGTAAGGTCGTATGTTTTCTGGATTAAAAGCACCAATCAGTGGTTTTCAATGTTGAAAAATAAAAAGCCTCTTCTCAATTTTCATAAGCATAAGATCATTGCCTCCCCAAGAGGGATACAAACATGCTTTCTGATATTGAAAATCACTCTGTTGTATTATTTCCTAATTTTAAGTTATTTTACATGTTCATCATCATAGGATTATTATATAATTAGGTGCTGCAGTGCCTGTTGAAACATCAAAGTTTAATTAGTATTCATAGTAGTTTTAGGATTAAGTACAACTAGAATATTAATTTAATTAGACATGTAATTCTATGGCATACCTAGGTAAGTAGTTTGATGGTCATAGCTACTGATTAAATAAAAGCAAAATTCAGTAATATTTTCTTAATGTATAAAGTAAATAATATATCACTAATTAAAACTACAAATTCTACATCTTTAATTATTTGATAAAAGATACATTGTAGTTTTCAAATTTGGTTCAAAATTTTTCTTGATTCATTAGTAGTTCTGATTCTAGGTGGCAATTTTTTGACATGTATATGTGTTTTAGGAATGTTATCCTCAAATTCAATGCCATCATCATGTCGTCCAGCAACCCCAGATCATCCACTCTCCACAATGTCAACAGTCCCATTCTAGCCATCAAATCCAATGCATCACAGAAAATGACCCAAATATTGGGCATGAACTCTGCCACAGTGGGCCAAGCCAGATACATGAACAGGTAAGACCAACCAGCTGAATGCTTAGCAAAGTTCTTGAACATTTCTTGCACCAGTATTCTAATATTCATATTAAATTTCCATTCAAACATTGAGGAATTATACCACTGGTATTTGTGTTTTTTTTTTTTTTACTTTCTCTTTATTTATTCTATGTGCCTTACACATCATGCATCTTGATTCCATTCATTTCCCTGTTCCTTCTCATCTGCCCTACAGCTCTGCAACCTCCCACCCCCTCCAATAAAACAAAATTTAAGAGAAAAAAAGGGAAAAAAATCTTGTCATGGAAGCTGTAATGTGACACGTTGACTCATTCAGTAAGCCCCTTTGTCCATATATCTTTACTTGCAAGTGTTCATTGCAAGAGTCATTGGTCTGGTTCGAGGCCTCTGATTTCTACTACACTATCAATGTTTGACCCTCATTGGGACTTCTCTTGGATATCCTGTTGTTGCTCTGTGTCATGGAGATCCTGTAGCTTTGGGTCTGCGGGTCAGGCTCCTTCACATGCTCCAGCAGATCATAGATGCGTTAGATGTTGTGGTGAATCAACTCATAACCCTGGTTCTGGGCCTAGGCAGCTGCAGGGTTGGTCAACTGCCAGTTCTCCCCTGTTCTCACCACTAGGGTGAGCTCTCCAGTATTGCCTTAGCTAATTCACCCCTGGTATTTGTGTTTTTACAACATTTTACAAACAGCTTATCCAGACTCCTCTCAAAAGACAAAATAGTTCAGGTTCATTAATTAAATGTATGAAGTTATGACTTGATTCATGAATATTTAATTGTAACTGATAACTGATCTTTAGAAATGAGCCCAACAGTTGTTCAGTGTTACACATTTCCATGATATATAATATTCAAATGAACAACAAGTTGCAAATGCTATCATTTGAGATGATTGTTAATGATATCATTTCACAAGCTGGTAATTAGTTGCTGTATATATTCTTTGAGAATACATTATTCTAATTCAAGTCAAAATATTCTTATACTTTATTGTGTATTATAACAAAATAGAAATCAAAACTTAGTTGCTAAGGAGAAACCTCCTTAGATACAATCTTGAGTGACTAATTTATGTTGTGAAGACTTTGGAGTCTTGTAATCATCTGCTGCACAAGTGATAATAGGAAAAAAAGATTTTCTTCAATCTGGTAAAAACTAATGATAATGACTGATAATGGAGAGTCAGACACCATTTGTACTTAGTGCAATTTCAAATTGACCTCTTTCATGGACAACTCTTAGGAGAAGATAAAAGAATAAGAAAGAAAATTATTAAGAGAAAATTAGCTTCCACTTGAGGAATTAGAAATGTTTTAATATTAAATATACATGGGATTATTTCTGATGCTTAGAAATATATACTTTGGCTATATTGGTAAAAAAAATAACTAGAAGTAATTTAAAATTCATGTTTTCCAATATAAAAAATCCTAAAATTATCTTTCCTCTGACTGTCTGCTCGGAAACATTAGCCTCTAGAGTAGTGTGTGAAATTTCTTACATTAAATAGATCCGTAATGACAAAAATAGCTATTTTATTAGATTAAATCATTTGAAATTGTTATTTTATAGGTCATAATTGACCAAATAGAAATACCTCTGCACAGTTCAATTTAATTTTTAATTTTGCTTCTCCTTGGTTTCCTCTAATAGAGGAAAGTGGAAGCATCTAAAATTTAATGCAAAGCAAAATGTTGGCATTTCCCTTAAGAAGGAACAAGCAATGTGTTTCAGGAGAAAAAGAAGAAATTAATTTCAGTTGGGAGATCAAGGGTGTTTTCAGTAGGTTTGAAAACTGAGCAATATTCCCACATTTGATACCATGGTGTTACATGGAGACAATGGCCAAGGAAGAAAAAATCATATGGATAATATTACAGGTTTAGAGAAGTATCTTTTGTGTTTCTAAATTTAGTCACGGGCTACAAAGATAGCTCAGTAGGATTGTAAAGCATTTGCCATGCAAGCATGAGCACCTACGTTCAGATCCTCAGAACTGTGAAGCCAGGCAACAGTATGCACATCTGTAATTCCAGTGCTCCTATGGCAAGATGGAAGGCAGGTAGGAGAATCCCTGGAAGCATGGAGGCCAGGTAGACTGGTATATGCAGTGGCAAACAAATGATTCTTTCTCAAACACAGTAGGCCTTACACTTAGATTGTCTTCTGACGTCTAAATGCATGCAGTGGCACATATGGGCCACATTCACACACAGGAACACACATATGTATCACACACGTGCAGCCACAGACACATACAGAGTAAAGAAGGGGAACAAACAAAAATAAGACTAGTTAGTTGTTTCATCTGAATAGAATGGAAGGTGCATGACAAGAACATACTAGGTTGAAGTATTAACATGGTTCATTAAGCCTAGGTCATGAAGTTCTAAAATGATAAGGCAAAAAAAAAACAACTTTGGTGAGCCAGGCGGCGGTGGCGCACGCCCTTAATCCCAGCACTCGGGAGGCAGAGCCAGGTGGATCTCTGTGAGTTCGGGGCCAGCCTGGTCTACAGAGCGAGATCTAGACACCAAAACTACACAGAGAAACCCTGTCTCAAAAAACCAAAACAACAATAACAACAAAAAACAACTTTGGACTATATAATGGATAGTTAGTAAAGGTTTTAAATAGGAAAGTACCAATAAAAATACTACTTTAGAAGGTTAACAATGGCAGCTTTGTACCAAGTAGACTAGCGTATTGTTTAATTTTCTTCTCATAATGATCAAATTAGGAAGGTATTATTATTGTCTTTGTGTTCACATAAAGAAACTAAAGTTTGAAGAAGTTACTTGTAGAGACTTACACAGTTAGCATGTGTTAGATCCAAATTTCATACAAAAGGTAAGAGCATTTTGACACTGGAGATGAATTGGTAGTGTAATAGTCTGGATTGGCTTCAGGGTAAGAAGTTCCAAGTTTCATTTCCAGTACTTTATATTTAAGCTACTTATATTAATATCAGATGTCTCTGCAACATTCTCCTTCATTAAATTTTGGTAGTTATATCTACCTCACAGAATTGACAGAAAGACTAAAAGAAATACATGAGGAAAGATTCCCATAAACTATGAAGACATGTAAAAATGTCATGAAGGAAACTTTTTGAAAAGAATAAAGCCTAAATTAGATTAATGATGATAGGACTGGTATAACAGATAATTTTCAAAGATGGAAGCAATATTATAGTATTCAAAAATTTTCTAGGAGCAACAGTATTGCAATGATATCCATTCACTCACAGTTTAACTATAATATATATGACCAGCTGATATTATTATCTACTTAGAAAATAATAATCATATTTAGGTAACTAATGTAGTTCCTCCAGCTTCATTATTTACACTACAGTTTGCAATTTCAACGTTGTGAAAATATAAGTACTGTTTCTTATATACAGTTTTCTGTCTGAGTGGAACTTTATGAGGATAATAATGAGGTGTACAAAGTACATGGACAAAGGAGGGCCTTGGTAGTCACATGTCCCCTGTAGGTGTGACATAGAGTTGGAAGACTCTCCTGAAAGCATTGCAGACCAGATGTAAATTGGACTCTTTTAAAATTATAGTTTTACCTACTTTTGCTATAGTTTTTATTATTCAAAAACAATTTTTGGATTTAAATATATATTTGGTCATATTCTTCTCCTACCCTAAGTCCTTCCAGATCCTCTTCCCCTCCCCACTCATCCAATTTTAAGTTCTTTCTAACACACACACACACACACACACACACACACACACACACACACACACACAAACCAATACAACAATAAACGTCCCCAAAACCAAGAAAACAAAATAAACAACACCCATAAAAGAAAAAAAAAACAACACAAAACTGTAACAAAATAAAAGCACACAGAAAACTGTGGAGTCCATTATATTTTGGAGTTTGACCTATTTTTAAAATTTGTATTTGAGATTGCAATTTGGATGTAGTGTGGAAAAGGAAAAAGTCACAATTTTTCAATTCAGTTGCTTGAGTTTATAAAACATGATGCTACATGATCTTCAGCAGTAAACTTGGTTAAGCTTCAATTTCCTACTATGTAACAGGGAATCATACTTTTATGTATGGCATATCCTACAAGAAGATTGAAATAAACTCTGCAAAGCATCCAGCTTACTGTCAATCCTATAGGAGATTCTCAAATCAATGTTTGATTACTGAACTTTGTGCTGCCTCAGTCTCAGACCTCAGATGTTTTAAGGATCACTATTAGAAATTGGTTATGTTGTAAAGCATTTTTTGGTGTTTATGGTTAAACCCAAACCCTTATACATGCTAAATATGCTCTACCACTGCACTATTCCATCAGCCCCTATACTACTACTTAAAGAAATGTTTTGCTTTAAAATACTTTGTATTAGTTTGCATGGTAACTTAAATAATGAACTATAAAATGCTTTTCCCAAAGCAAAATGTATTGATTAAAAACAGAACAAACAGAAAATAGGGCGAACTCAAATCTGGTTTCACTGTATTTTTCACAAAATTGTTATATGAATGTGCCCCATGGTTGTCTCTAGCCACATAATTTTAGCTTCAAATTCCAAAATGTCTCTTGTCATGTATCCTTTCTTAGAACAAATTAAGAATAGCATGATGTGATCATTTTCATGCTATTAGCAAGACATAGATAATTTCACACAGTTAATGACAGGAAAAAGCTCAGTTGAACCCATTTTAGAAGTTATTGTTTAGTCAGAGGGTGGCTGAAGAGATGGCTTAGTCAACAAAGTTCTTGCCACAGAAGAATGAAGAAGACCTGTGTTCGAATCTCCACAGCCTTCACAAAAAGCTAGATGTGGCTGCTTGTGTCTGGAACCCCAGCTCTGAGAATTTGAAGACAGAAATATCTGTAGGTCTTTTTCTGACCAGGTGTTCTAGCCAAATTGGTGAGCTCTGGCTTCTTTGAGAGCCTCTGTCTCAGTAAATGAGAGGAAGAGTAATTGAAAAAACACCTAACATTGGCTTCTGGCCTCTGTGTACATGTGCCCACAACCCACATGCATATGCACTGGAGTATTCACATGCACACATACATAAATAGAAATTGTCCTATTGGAGTTCATAATGAAGACAAATAATTATTTATGACATCTATACACTCTTCTGTTTACCTTGAGTCTTCTGGCAAGCCTTTTTTGAGTCATGGCAGGTGGTAAAGAACAGGCCTGCTCACTTGTTCACTTTTGTTAATGGAAAACTACTCTAGGGATGCAGTGTCTTTAAAACTTACATTTTTGTCAACATCAATATAACATATCTCTTAGTTTTAAGTCCTTTGTCTGAAATGTCCTCAGGAAGTTTACTACAATGGTTTCTTTTTATTTAAATTGGTGAGGGAGCAGTTAAAAAAGCAAGACATATGTTAATGAAAAGAGTAAGAAAACAATTCAAGATAATTGTGTGAGAATTCAGTTAGCTCTCGAAAAACCAAAAAAAAAAAAAAAAAGAATTCAGTTATCTTTATTAACTGGCATGTTTTAGTATTCATGGAGATAGAAAATCTTGAGATATTTTTGTAGGTATAGAACAATGAATCCCACTGTTGATAAAGTAAAGAACATATTGGAAAACAGAGGTACTATGTTTATATAAGTGTTTAAAGGTTTTATATAGAATAGTATCTATATAAATCTTTGTGTACAACTTCTAAGTTCTATGACATATAAACATACTTGTGATATTAACATTACATTTTAACTCATCTACTTCATGACTTCATATAGGAGACTTTACACTGTTTAATAGACAACTTTTACTTCTCTAGGAAAGCAACTCCACAATGTATATAGTCAAGTAAACTAACATTGTGGACTATTCACCCAGATTTTCTTCTCTTTTTTTAAAACATGTGTTTATTTATTTACTTACTTATTGTGTGTAGAGAGATGGCATATACATGCTGCGGGAGCACACACTGAAGTCAGAGGAAAATTTTAAGAATCTATTCTCTCCTTCGACCATGTGGGACCTGGGGATTTTAATGCAGGCCATTGGGCTTGGAGGAAAATGCCTTTACCCACTGAATGATCTCAGTGGCTCTGACTTTTTCTTTCTTTTAAAAGAGCATTGCTGATTTTGAATTTGAGATATCTGAGTCATTTATCCAGTCCTCTCATCCAGACTTTCCAAAATATGAATCTGCATTCCTTTTAAGGAAATCAGTTAGATTTATTAAGGAAAAACAGAGCTTGCATGAGTATGAGGGGATTTTTAAGAAGGGCTATGGCCCATGAATATACATTTCTTTATAAAATTATGATGAAAATATACTGTGATTTTATTCAGCATTTATTTTTGCTAATCTGTGTTTTGTAAACTGATTTTCTTATTACAGATATGGTTATGAGTGCCTGTTCTTGCTTGCATTCTGGTCCTTCCATTTGTCTCAGTATACATGGACTTTTAGGGTATTCCTTCAGCAGAGGGGTTGAAAAGGAAGTATTAGTAGTCAAATTTGAACTATTCATCTCTTCATCTCATGTTCAAAATTAAGACAGTATAGAGTATGTCTAAGCTATTTCTCTCCAGGCAGTGAGTCCTTGAATGATAGACAAGGTAGTCAACAGTATTAGAAAGATTAGCAAGGGAATGAGGCCAATAAAATATGTCTGAGTTAGGACAGTAGTCATAATAATTTGTCTCAAAGAGTTTAAATGTCTCTTATGTCTGTAATTTTTTTTCACTTGGCCCTGAGCTACTTTTTTTTCCATATCTGATTGACTAGATATTAAATCCAAATAAAAAAGTGAAGTATTAGGTAAAAATATATAAAGGACATTGGAATGAATAGTTTCTTTTAGTCTAACTTTTTTTTTTTTGATTTTTCAAGACAGGGTTTCTCTGTGTAGCTTTGCATCTATCCTGGGACTCACTTGGCAGCCCAGGCTGGCCTCGAACTCACAGAGATCCGCCTGCCTCTGCCTCCCGAGTGCTGGGATTAAAGGTGTGCGCCACCACAGCCCGGCTAGTCTAACTTTAATATACACTAATAATCAAATGGACTTTCATCAAAGTGATAGTAATTCTTCTATAATCAGTACAATTGAAGATATTCACATTTTGTTTATCCACAGTAGGTGGATATGAAAGGAATGTTGTGGGCTGGAGAGATGACTCAATAGTTAAGAACATGTACTGCTCTTGTAGAGGACGTGAGTTTGATTCCCATCACCCATATTAGGTAGCTCACAGCTGCCTGTAACTCCAGTTTGAGAGAGTTGACAATGTCTTCTGGCCTCCAAAGGCACATGTACAAACCCACCCACAGACACACACACACACACACACACACACACACACACACACACACACACAACTAAGAAAAAGAAATGAAATTTGGTGATAATTGGAAACTGATTTATTTATTTATTTAGCTATTTCATTTAAGCAACTATATTCAAGAATTTAATATTACTCCAGAGGGGATGGAGGACACTAAACACAACAGTACTGACACATATGAACTCAAAGAGAATGTGGCAGCATGCACAGGACCTGCATAGTTTTACATCAGATGGGATCTCAGTGCTGAGAGAAGACATGGACACAAGCCCCCATCCCTAACCCAGAAGCTCTTCCCAATTAATAAGCACTCACAACTGAAAAAAAACCAAAATCACTTTTCTCGAAGGGAGTCTCAATGGGTATACAAACCACTCTTAAGTACATGCCTCATGCCCAGCAGTAGATGGCTAACACAAAACAAACTCAATAGCATCTTTGGAGGTTCTTTGTGTCAAAAGGCTTTTGACAGGGCATTTTCTATTATTCCTCCTCCTCCTCCTCCTCCTCCTCCTCCTCCTCCTCCTCCTCC